CATGTTACCAAGGTTTGATTGTGGTATAATTTTACAAATAACAATTTCCCTAGGTAAGGATATAAGATAAGGCTCCGACAGTAACCTCTGAAACACCTTCCCTATCCCAACACTAGACGTCAGTTAACCAGTTTGAAAATACAAATCTAGTAGGGTGCTTGCGCACACGTTTTGTACAAGCACACAAAATAAGCCAATTGGGCAATGATGCATATGGACATGATCACAGTTTATATGTTATATTCAAGGTGAAAACAATGCTGAAGTGATTTATCTCTGTCTGATATTTTACATCTCAAAAACCTGGCATTATAACAGGGGAGTGTAGGTTTTTTTATATCTATTATAAGCTTCACTGTCCAGAAAAAACCATAGTTGACATGTCAAATAAGTAGACATTTCTAGCAATATAAGTTACTTGAGCTTGCAATAACAATTATGAATCTTAGAAGCATCTCAATAGGAATACAAACTCATTCAGAACCACAGCCACAAGTTCTCTAACTTTTCAGGACTCTGCTTCATTTTAAGTGCTTTATACACCTTGTCACCGAATCCAGACACTGACGTAGACATAAATAACTTCAAGATATTGAGAAATAAAGCTGAATGAGATCAGGACATTGATGACACTTGTTGCTTAACTTCTTTCAATGACAGTATGTCATCCAATACTGCTTAGAGGTCATATTCTCAGGTTCTCAAATTAAAATCGATCCCATACGGTTAGATAAAACAATGTATATTAACATAAATAACAGTTCATATTGAAGTGTCCTAGTCTACATGATTTTTTTCCTCAAAATGTTTATATATTTATCATGATAGGTTTCAAAGAGCTCTATAGTAAGTTTTCATTGCATTATTTCCAGTAGCCCTTAACTACTCAGATGAGCCCTGTAGAATGGCTAAGGTAAATTAAACCAGCTTCCATTCAATGTCGATAGTTAATTTTATGCTGTAGCAATCTTCAGCCTGGCATAATTGCTCACAGCTCCACAGACCCTAGGAGAACTGAAATCAGTGGCCTATTCTGTTTTCTCATTGCACACATTATCAAGGATTCATTAGATCACTGGTTTTGGCCTCTAGAAATTTCCCTGAAACATTTAGAAATCATCAGATTTCATGTTTTCTGGAGTGGACAATCTTAACATATCTTCCAGCCTTTTAAGTAGCAATGTCATAAAACCACACTTCACCAGATGATGGTACAACTGCAACTTAATCTAATATAATCAAATAGACCAATTTGCAGATTATTGTTTATTTAAAGAATTTCAGGTAATTTTTTTTTAAAAAAACTATGATAATAACAGAGAAAAATATTGCAGTAGTAATCATGATCTCTGAATTTAAATTTCTTTCTTTCTTTCTTTCCTTCTTTCTTTCTTTGTCATATTTAAGACCTGCCCTTCTCCCTCACAGAGGGATTCTGGGCAGTATACAATATTAAAAGTATGAAAAACAGTATATAAAATTTAAAAGAGGCAAGAGATGTTGAGAATTAATTAAAAGGTGGGGGAAGGTTTTAGGGTCATCAATGAACCACACAGTTGTATGTTCATCTGCATGCCCCAACCAAGGGTATAAAACCATGTTTTTATGGCTAGGGGAGTGGGGGGGACCATTTCTCCTCTGGGAGGAGCATGTTCCACAGGCAGAAGCAATGGCAGAGAAGGTTCTTTTCCTAGTCCCAGGAATTCTTTGACTGACAGGGTCCGCAACACCTCTTTCCTGCCTGACCAGGTGGGATGAACTGAGGTAATGGGATGAACCCAGGTCCATATGTTGAATGTATACATATTATATATGAGTACAGATGCTAATTAATTACATCTATACCTGAAATAGATAGGCTGGGTTACATAATTTTATAAAAAACCTAGCTCTCAAAGTGATAATCTCCAGCAAGGAGAGTGAAAGGGTTCAGTTACAGGGGCAGGAAAAGTACTGTTGGAAGACCTGAAAGACCAAATTATGGATAAATCATTATGGACACAATTTATCTATCTATGTGGATGCTAAAAGAGAAAAACAACTGGATGGAAACCAAAATCAGTCATTATTATTTTTATTTTTATTTTGTCATTGTGCTATATTATCATATCAAAAGAAAGCATAAAGCTATTGCTTTGGGCTTAAAATGGAAAAGAGAATCCTTATATAATTTCAGGCCTTCAATAATGTACATCAAGGGGCTGGATTTTTCAGAATGGAATTTAACAGAAGAGTTCTCTCCAAACTTCTGCTCAAAACTGCTTATAAAAAAACACAAAAGAACAAACATGTCTAATGCTGAAACTCCCCACAATTCTACATATATAAACAGCATCCTATTTCCAAAGCTCATATATATCCCAGTTTCAGCAAACAGACTGTCTGAACAGCATTTACACAGAGCCAGGCTCATTCATCACCTTCAAGTTTAATTACGAAGTAATTTCCTCTTGGCAGCCTTTACTGGTCAGTGGAATTAAGTTTTACATGGTCAGGATAACAAGGAATTAGAAGTACCCATAATTCTCTTCAGCTGTACAATTTGTTAAGTTCTGAACCTTTGAAAAGGAAAGGATTTTTTTTAGAAACAAACATTCCTTCTCGCATATAGTTGCATCTGGAACATTTATGTGGACGTGATCTCAAGGGAGACTTTTATTCTGCAATTAAGTTTGAGAAAACACTGCTAAGGAAAGGAAACCTAATATTAGATGGAGCCACAAAGAAATGGAAAGGCATCCATTTCTTGAGCAGTACAGATTGTACCAGTTGTACACTTGAACTGTGGATTGGCCAGTCACATACAATATATGCCAGATATACCCCTATGTCTTATTAAATATTTTAACAAATATTTCTGCCAAACTGATTTTGTGGTAGTCAGCAGGAACAACCACAACTGGAACAACCACTTGTACAATTCAGAACAAAACCTCTCATTTTATTTTTTCCAAACTTTTTTATTAAAATGTGCACATTTTGCATAATTCTGTTCTGCTGTGCTTTGTGGTACTTTTCTTAAATCGAAAGATTTCAAAATTAGAAATAGGCAATCTTAAAGAATAACATCTAGGAACATCAGTCTTCCTATTAATTCCTCATGTTTCTTACACATGTTTTGCTATAAAAGTATTTAATGTGAACTAGAAGGGGGGAGGGTAACACCACTCTTTTTCATCTTGCAAGCCAATATGAAGAATAACTACATAGTGTACAGGTAGTCCTTGACTTACAACAGTCTATTTAGTGACCGTCTGAAGTTACAACATCTCTGAAAAAAGTCAGCTATGACCATTTTGTTTTTCTCTTGGGACACTAGTGGGCTTCCTAGTTAGCCACTGTGAGAACAGATTGTTAGACTAAATGGGTCAGGGGCTTGTATTCTTATGTTCTATGTTCCTGGTCTGGATTTCCGGGGGTGTGTGTATCCATTAAAACCAATAAACCTGATTTTAATTCAGTGAAGTAAATTCAGGGTGAATCAAGAAAAAAAATCAGAGTAATGTTAAGGCCATTACATTAGAATCTCCAAAAGACTGACCACTTTTATTTTAGAATAGGTAACAAGAAGAAAGAAAGAAGAAATATGCAGCTGCTGGATTTATATTAGCATTATTCGTTTCACTACATACCTGATGCTTCAGTTACAAGTAAAATGCAAACAACTGCTTCATGAGTACATTTTTCTGTCCTGCATATCAATTTTATCCAGTCCACCAATCTATATTGCAAATACTTTTAAATGCTTTCACATGAGTAAATTATAAACAAGAGTTTAAATCAGGTATCATAGGAGAAAAATCTATGGATTATTTAATTTGACTGGTAGAGCAAAATGACTAAGAATAGTGTGACAATGTTAACAGGTGTTTTCTTGAAAGTCTAAATCTGGTTATAGAAAAGGAAAGTGGATCTACAGAGGCTGCAATTCATTACTATCTTCAATACATTTTCAAATTCCTACTGTGGAAAATCAATCTGTAAAAACAGTCCATTTCCAATTAGTGCCTCATCTGGTTTCCTACACCATTCAATTTCAGATGAATGTTATGAAAAGCTTGTTATGCATTTTACCACCCATATGGTTGAAATTTAACAATAAAATGTTTACATCCTGCCCTGCTCTTTTCTATGCCCCCCCCCCAACACAACTTACAGATGTCTTTAATGGAATATGACTTAACAAAGTCATATGTCACGTTTTATACCAGCTAGCAAAAGTTCTCATTTTTTCCTCCATTTTATGTCTAATTAGATAATAGGTCAAGAACATCCAGTACAGAACTTAGCATTTTAAACGGAGATATCAATGAGTATACTTTTTCATTTTTTTATTATACTAGTGAGCTTTAAATCTTGTGTTTCACTTAATATAAGTTTCAAATCTGATAATTTAGCTTTCATTGTGTCCAATTTTTCCTTTGTTCAAGTACATAATAAATAACTATACAGATTCAAATCACAATAATCCAGTTAAACAAAAACTCACTTTCCTACCAGGGCTAATTATTATAATTCAAGGTAACGCATATCTTTAGTACAAGTACTGTACTGACAGAAATTGGCTTGATTTCTCCTTTGCTGAGGTTTACTTTATCCGTTTTTCTCTAAAGTTCATATAATTCTCATAGCAAACAGAAGGAAAAGGTGTAGATTGAATATCTTATTGTAATAAAACAACCAACTCCATGTAGAAATTTTGATAACCAAACAGAATGAGAAAATGTTTAATAAGGGTCTCCCCAAAAATCCTTGCTACAATAAAATTAGAAGCTGCCTTGTGGCTGTTTGTAAAAGAAAAGAAGTGTAAAGGTTTTTAATGGAAAGGATTTTGCAAGTTACTGCTACTCTAATCAGTTTATTACTTTCAAGAGCAGATTAAGAAAAGCCATTTTCTTATTCATAAATTATCCTGCTTTCGTGCAGAGAAAGCTATAGAACATGGAACTGGAAGTTTCATATAACCATGAAGTATGCTTTTTATAAATAATTTCTCTTACCTCCCCCGTTCTACAGCCAAGGCATCTAGTTCATCAAAAAACAATATGGATGGTGAAACAGCTCTGGCTTTCCTAAATATCTAAGGAAAAAAACATGCATTAAGATGACCAAAAGAATCTTAATACTATGTTCTTACAGAGGCTTAACAGATCCATCCAATTTTAATTTACCCACCAATAACAGGATCAGCAATGGTTCTGATAGGTAATATTGTCCTGTACCTATTTGAGGATGCTGGTGCTGGTGGTGTAAAATAGGCATACCCTTCTCTCTCATAATGCAACCCACAGTTAGTTTACCCATTCTATAAGTAAATATGAATTGTTATTAACTTATAAAAGTAAAGTCCTACACTTAGGCAAGAAAAACCAAAAGTACACATATAGACTGGGTGAAACCAGGCTCAATAGCAGTAACTGTGAGAGGGATCTTGGAGTCTTAGTGGACAACCAGCTAAATATGAGCCAGCAGTGTGCAGCAGCAGCCAAAAAAAGCTAATGCAATCCTAAATTGTATTAACAGAGGGATACAATCAAGATCAAGGGAAGTACCAATACCACTCTATAAAGCCTTAGTAAGACCGCACCTAGAGTAGTGCATCCAGTTTTGTTCACCAAAGATGTTGAGACTCTAGAAAAAGTACAGAGAAGAGCAACCAGGATGATTAGGGGACTGGAGGCTAAAACATACAACAAACGGTTGCAGGAACTGGGCTTGGCTAGTCTAGTAAAGAGAAGGACCAGGGGAGACATGATAGCAGTCTTCCAATATCTGAAGGGCTGCCACAGAGAGGAAGGGGTCAAGCTATTTTCCAAAGCGCCTGTAGGCCAGACAAGGAATAATGGATGGAAACTGAACAATGAGAGATTTAACCTGGAAATAAGGAGAAACTTTCTGACAGTGAGAACAAGCAACCAATGGAACAGCTTGTCCTCGGAAGTTGTGGGAGCGCCATCACTTCAGACTTTCAAGAAAAGATTGGACTGCCATTTGCCAGAAATGGTGTAGGGTCTCCCGCTTGGGCGGGGGGGGGGTTGGACTAGAAGACCTAAAAGGTCCCTTCCAAGTCTGATTATCTGTTAAATCTGTTATACTGTTAAGTTTATTATACTTAACCTCTCTGACTGCACGTTCAGATTCCCCAACATATTTTTTCATCAATTCAGGTCCCTGCATGGAAAAAGAAAAACAAACAACTTTCAAGGATGTTTCCTTTACATCATACTTTCTCTTGAATGTTAAAAAAAATAGCTTGAAGACAATTCTTGAAAGATTTTTATTCATTATAAAATGCTTGAAGGTGCATGCTGTTCCCTGATCAATCAACCTAATTAGTTTGGATTTGCTGAATTTCCACTGTCTCTTAGATAATCTTAATTTTCTAGACTCAACGTGCCATCTATTACATATCCCTTGAGGCCTTTTTCTTCTATCACTGCCCAATCTCTATTTTTATACCCTAAATTCAGGAAAAAGAATTGTACCACCTCTGCAATCAACACAGTAAGTAATCTAACAATGTATTATATAAATATTAATTAGTCCTCTTCGGCTTTGTGATTGTGAAAAAAAGAGAAAGCAATTATTTGTACATATATCTTTCTATATGATCTACTATTTAGCTAAAGGATACACCACATTACTTTTGCAGGCTTGATAGTATACATGCAAACATCACTACTAAGGAAGATTCTAGAACAAATGACAAGTAATTAAACCGTGCATGTTGAAAGCAATGTTCTGATTACAAGGTGAAAAGCATGAATTGGTCAGACTAAAAGATAATCAAAATTTAAAAGGATTTTGATAGAGGTAGGCTCAAACCAGAATAATATATGACACCCTGATTTTTCCACTTAGAATAAAGAAAAATACACAAATATAGGATGAAAAATACCCAGTTTGTTAATAATACAGGTGAAAAGAAGCTTGGAATTATGTTCACAACAAACTGAAAATGAATCCACAGTAAAACCTGGGTCCTAAAAAGGGAAATTGTATTTTAGGTCACATCAATAGAAATACAGTTTTCAAATCATGGGAAATGATAGTTCTACTAACATTTATATTATTATTTTCAGTATCTGCTTTCGTCATACTTCAAGAAATACAGTACATATGGTTCTACATTTTAAGACAGATTCAGAGGAAATGGAAAGAAGTTTTGTGAGGAAAGATAGAGGGACCTGGGTATATGTAACCTTAAGAAAATTTATTCAGGACTAATATAATAGCAATGTTCAAGTACCTAAAAGTTTGTCACGGGATCCACAAAGTTAATTATGAGGTCCTTTTTAAAATAGATTTTATCTCATGAATTTCATGTTACTTATTTAATAAAGAACAATTCATGAGGAACTGTCCAAAGAGCCTTTCAGAACATCAACCAATTTTCTTCCAGAAATGTAATGATCATTACTCATAAAGTCAAGACGCAGGATCTTCCCAAAACCATTAATCTATTTTAACTGCTGCAGCCAAGAAATAGCAAATTTAAACTGGAAAGCATTTTATTGTAATTGATCCAGATGACAACCAGAACTTAAGCCCATGTCAAGTGCAGTAAACCACAAAGTATCTGAAGAAGGATACAGGAAGTTAGCAAAGCCAAAGTGAAGTCAATAATCTGCCAACAGAATATATTTTGAAAGTACTGCTAATTGGAAAAAGAAAAACTAACTGAAATGTCTCATATTTAAGAGGAAAAGAAAGACACAAGGAACAACTCCTACCAAAGCCTTTACCACAATTATACATGCTTGAAACATTGAAATACATTTCAAGCCGCTGCCTCTCTGCCTCATCTGCATAAATTTGTACTTGAGATAAATCAAGTTTTAAAACCTACAAAGTTCAATATTACTTGACAGTCCTTTAGAAATACTAATTGTTTTACATGTCTCTTCTGAGAACCTCACAGCTGACGCATGAAGCAACATACTGCAAAAGGTTTTTTAAAATACACATGATACAACCAACCAGTAGTGGGGTTCAATTTTTTTTTACTAACGGTTATGTGGGTGTGGCTTGTTTGGTGGGCGTGGCTTAGTGGTCATGTGACTGGGTGGGCATGGCCAACTCGGCAAGATGATATGGCACCTTTCTGCAAATGACGTCGAGTTGGCCACGCCCACTCAGTCACATGACTGATGTTGCAGAGACAGGGTGATTTCCTTCGTACCTTCCCCTCCCCTCCTCCGCCCTTGGGCTGACAAAAAAAATAGTCCAACTAAAGATCACGACTGCCTGCCGAGTCTGCCTGCTGAATAGGTTTTGTTTTGGGGTGGTTTTTTTTTTTTTTTTTGCCAGAAGCCCCTCAAAGATAAATTTGCACCACCAAATTTTACTGTACCTCATTGTTGCGGCGCTGCCTGTTGCTGCTACAGGCGCTGCTGCGGCCGTCTGAGAGAGCAAAAGTAGTGGCGGCTGGGGCAACAGGTCTATGCGATGGCTTCTCCCGCGGTCCCCTCTTGGGTGACAGCCAGGGCTTTGGCACTTCCTCTTTTCCTCAGAGGCAGAGTGTCTGCCTCCCTGCACACTCCTTGTGAAGGGACACACACGCCCGTCACCCCCACCAGCATTACGTTTGCTCTTGGTTTTTGGCTTCTTCCATGGGGCCGCTCTTAAAGTTGACCTTTAAGTGTCCTGGGACATCTGCCTGCCTGTCCAGCGCCCGCCCTCCCAGAGCACGCTTTCTTTCTTCTCCTGGCGGACGCACCTCTTCCAGCCCGGCCAGCCAGCAGGTGAACACATGTCCTGGGGCTTCTCGCCCCCCCTTGTCGCGAGATGCCTGCAGCTGCTGTGTGCTTTTTTCCGTGCGGCTGCAGTCCAGCAGCTGCACGGAAAAAAGCACGCCCTGTTCTATGTGCCGAGCCAGCAAGTCCGAACAGCTGGCGCATAGAACAGGGCAGCACTGGACCATTGGAGAAGCGGGGTGGAGCCAGAGATCAGTAGCCACCCCTTTCATAGCGCAGAAATCCTCCCGAATCAGCTGGCTAGTCTCCTCTTTCTCTGCCTGTTTTATATGGCCGAGGGGGAGGAGACCAGCCGGCCAAAGGAGCCGCTGCTGGAGGCGACTCTCTTTTGGCCTCCAGCTGCTTCTTTCAGGCAGAAATCCTCCTCCAACTGAGGATTTAACCTCTTTTATACTCTGAGCTAAGCTACTTTTTCTTATAATAAACATATATAAAAGAAATAAACATACTGATACTTTTCAAAAAAAACCATTGGCAATTCAGCATTTGATTTTAGATTATATTTTAATTCTAATTTTGAAGATCTTAGTGGAAAGTTTTTTTCCCCCCTTACAATATTTTCAATATATAAATGAGAGCCAGTTTGATCTATTGGTTAAGGCACTAGGCTAGAAACCCGAAGACTGCAAGTTCCAGCTGGGTGACTTTGGCCCAGTCCAGTCACTCTTTCATCCATAAGGCTTTGATGACAAGCTGCTCAGTCAATTCCCATTGCAACCAATGGATTAATATTTGGTTTATCTAAAAAAAGTGGGACCTGCATTTGTGTGAAAATGCTAGGAAGAAAATAAAAATAGCAACAACATCTTAAGGAACAGGAAACCATCTGGTGATTTGATGACGTAACTAGAAGAAACAAAGCTGACATCAATTTGATTCATAGCTTCAAAGTCCAAATCATTTAATAAAAAAACAAAGTAGCCGTGAAAGGTGTTATCTCAGTCCATTTTTATGGAACATGGTGAATTTAGGAATAAAAATTGAAACACTTTGACACCCAGTCTTTCTACTCTTATTCTGATTTTTTATTTCAAAAACAAATCATGCCATGAAAATTCAATCATTTTGGCACCAAATTCCTGTGGCACTACCTTGAGGTGTTTTCAGTTATTGCACTATTATATATTATAGCTATGAATAAGCCAGAAATTTAGCTAAGCAAGTAGTGTAACTTCTTTTTCTTCTTCTAAATGTACTATTCTTCCCTAGACTTTCAGTACAGACTAAGTTGATAAATCTTGAGAACAAAAATATAAAACATTATAAACAAATATATAAAACAGGAAACTAAGGTAATTATTATACACTCAACATATATAGCAGGCTGATAATTGAAAAATACTAGAATAAGTATTTTTATGGTATTTGATAACATCATGTTTAAGAACACAGCGATTACTAACCTTTACTGCCAAGAAGTTTAGACCACTTTCATGAGCCAAGGCCTTGGCAATCATGGTTTTAGAACATCCTGGTGGTCCATATAGGAGTACTCCTTTTGGCGGCTGAATGCCCATTCGAATGAAAGATTCAGGATGCTTCAGCGGCCATTCAACAGCTTGCTTTAATTTCAGTTTAACATCTTCCAGCCCTCCTATATCTGACCAGGATATCTATAATGCAAGTCACTTTAATTAATTCACTCACTGATTTTTGGTAGCTCCCATGTTCAGCAGCATAAATACCGCATTATCAAGCAGCTACTAAGAGTTTAGTACTTAATTAGATCTATTTTAACACTGTCTTCGGATTACTTTTTATTGAATACACACACCACAATCAGTGCCAAATAGGATACAGTAATCAATCTTTATTTCTGGTAATACTGATGTAGTATTTCTTTAGAAAATCTTTCTCAAGTTTATTGTCCTATAAGTGCGTAGGCCATTTTTAGGCTAAAGAAGGCAGTTATATAAATACAAGTGCTCAGTTCAGGGTCATCAAATGTTGCAACAAGAAGCTGTTCATTCATGGGAAATGCACAAGAAAAAAAACCATAAATTTAAACTACCACAAGTATAACAGTCATTTGCACTCTCTTGTTGACAATGGTCAATCATTTGCATGGCTATATTATTATCTACTATAAAGATGTTTCTTTGGCTAAGCTGTATTCATGAAATTCATTCATCATGGATTGAAAGACTTTGCCGAAACAGTAATTTTTGTGTCCATGTGTGGATATATTTCTATTCTAACCATATGCCTGTCTTAAAATAGTCTATCCCTGCACATTCCACAAAAATAAAGAATGATATCAATGTACAACAATGTGCTAAATTTCCACCCTTGTGAGAAACTTATGATGTTGGAAAATATGCAAGGTTAATACTGACTATTCACTATTTTTTATCATGATGGATGTTTTCATAGGAAGCCTTCTTGACCTCCAGCTATATTGGAACTTCAACTGTAGAATATCCAAACAGCATAACTAGGAATTAAAGGAGTTATAGTTCCAATATATTCTGAAGATATAGAGAGGAAAGATATAAAGACCACTTTATCTACTTCTATGATCAGATGACTGCCTTTAAGCATGACTCTTTTTCTTATTCTCCAATCTCCAAATAATCATCTTAAAATATTGAATAGAGAAATCTTACTTTGGGTACATCAATTGTCACCTCTCTCATGGCACTGGGCCTGACATCGTTCATTGCTTGCAGGAAATCACTGTGATTAATAATTACAGATACAGATACATCGTCATCCAGGAGATCCTCTTTCTTACGAAGTATTCTCCGCAAAGCATGCATTCCTGTATAAAGGACACAAAATGCCAAATAACGTATGGATTTATTACATTTCACAAATATTTAACAATACATAAGTAGTAAATGCTGTGCTGATTCATGACAGTAATAAAGATTGAACTGAATATAGTAAACACAAAATATGAGAAAGTAAGAGATTTCTCTCAATTAGATTCCATCAAGCATAAATAAATGAATGCTTTAGCATTTATAATAGTGATAGTCAACCTCTGAAACTCCAGATGCTATTGAACTGCATCTCCCTATCCCAGAGTCTTCCATCACTAGTCCCCCTTTCCAAAATAACTAAAGGTGTCATACATTAAAATCACATCAGAAATGTCACAAAATCTCTAACTTTATCCTTAAGAACATGTTGAGGCATGTTGAAGCTGGTTGGTACACTTGTAAACAATGACTAGTTTGTATCTTAAACTAGTACTTATTTTTTAAAAAGTCTACCATCATCCCAAGTAAACATCCTTGAGACTATTTTCAAGCATTTCATTAAAAAAGGATTTAGATTTCTGATCACGGTTATTCATCTTCTTCCATATAAGCCTGATTGGGAGAACAAGGGCATCCAAAAAAGCGGGGGAAAGATACCAATTCACTGTCTTCTTTCAACTTGTCCAATTCACCAAATTACTTTAGACTAACCCACCAAATTAAACTTTAGGAAACAGCTTTGTACAATGAAGAAAAAGGTTCTATATCTCTCAAATAAAATAATGTCTCATTTTCACATTAAGTTATTATACTGCAAGTACTAGAGACCTGGTGGTGATCAGGGTTGCACAATATTTTTGTGATAAAAGTAGCATATTGAAATATGTTAAAGTTACCCATTTAAAACAGTTGTTATATTCAATTGAAAAAACACTTATTTCATGCATTGTTCAAAGAAAACATCTTTAACCATTTCTAATCCAAAAACATATCTTTAACCATTTCTAATCCAAAAAGAAGTTATTGATGAAATCTGATATGTAAAAGGAAACACGTAATGTCTTATTCTTTGCTATTACCCAATATATCTGGGTTTTTTAATCAGTTTGCTCTCAACCAATTAAAAAATAAATAAAGAAACAGGACCATTCAGTAATTGTTCAAGCAGGCTAGAGCATGCCTTCCCCTTGTTTCCAAGCTAGATTCAAACTTAGAATATGTAACTAGATCTTTCTTCCACACTCCTCTGGCCCACCTGTACCTACTTCTTCCTTAAGATCTGGGGCACTCTGCTATATTGGAAGGTTATTCTAGGAAGAGAAATGGGCATCCCTCCAAAATCAGGCAACAGCATGTGGAGTAGTAGAGCTTTACTCCATTTTGTTTAGGGGATGCTTCAATCAGCTTAGTTTTACATCAGTGCAGTATTTGAGAAATGTGGGGGAAAATCTGCTTCTTTCTATGTAGTTAAAAGTTCAGCCCTACTATTCTCCATATGGGCAAAAACGGAGATGGTTAGAACTGTTCAAAATAAAAGTATATAAAGTACACATTTGCTCAAACCATTATGCAGTTCAGCATTTAAATGGAGCAATGTTTTACACAAAAAAAAAAAACAGTAATAAAAGACAGATTGAAGCCAAAACTTTAATCCTTCCTGTTTCCTCTTGTTAGCATCATTTATTTCTGCTGTCCCCGCTGACCTTGACCTTAATCAGTGGTTGTGTTATTTCCAGGAATGGATCTAGTCAGTACTTTACTGAACACATATATATCTTCTTTTTCATTAAATGAGGAGGAAGAACTTGGTAATGTGTTTGCATATGTGAGAAGTATGTTCTAGTTGTAAGATAGAGCAAATCCTGAACAATGACCTCACCCTTTGATTAAAGCTGCATTCCAAAAATAGCAGGCATGTGTCCAACACAAAGGAAGTTTAAAAAACAGTTTGCCAGATTACATTTTGGATAAGACCCAGCTTTTATTCATGTACTGAAAGACAGCTTGAAGAACATGCCTATATATCAGGCAGCCCTTTTTTTCCATCTCCTTAGTAGATAATCATTCTCCCTTACCATTAACTATTGTGCTTAACTTTTCCAAAATCCTATTAAAAACAAAGAATTATAAAATATTTACAAATCAAGAGTTTAAATGAAATATACCCATACTTTAATTCATATAAAAAGTCCACATAGCTTATAAGAGGTAATCAAAGTTGGTTGTTGTATATTTTATATATATAATTTTGAATCTCTCAGCATTTGACTTAATCAGAATGCTTAGTTTTCAAGAGCGTATATTTATAGGACAATTTAGTGTTCAAGGAAGGGTATACAATTAGAAAACATAAAATAATTATATACCACCACTATTTTTAGCTAGTATTCAAAGTATAGTTATTAGTTTGAATACGATTAAATTTGTAGCATTGTTTTAGATGCGTACAGCTGGTCCTCAATTTACAACAGTTCATTTAGTGACCATTCAAAATTCCAATGGCACTGAAAGTGATTTATGACCATTTTGCACACTTACAACTGTTGCAACATCTCCAGTCACGTGATCAAAATTCAGATGCTTGGCAACTGACTCATATTTATGACAGTTGTAGTGGCCTGGGGTCATGTGATCATCTTTTATGACTTTCTTATAAGCAAAGTCAATGGGGAAGCCAGATTCGCTTAACAACCATGTCACTAACTTAATAACTGCAGTGATTTTCTTAACAACTGTGGTACAAAAGATCATAAAATGGAGAAACATTCACTTAACAAATGTTTCACTTAGCAGCAAAAAAATTGGGGTCAATTGTGGTAGTATGTTGAGGACTAACTGTACCATGGTTTAGCTAAAGTAGAGGTGGGATTAAAATTTAGGCTTATGAGTGTAAAAAAGAAACCCTATAACTGGAATATGGTCTTATGTAGGGGTTGCCCAGGATGTAGGAAGAACAAAGAGACCATTTTCAGATCCCACTGACCCAGACAGATCTAAACAGATCTATCCCAATTCAACTGTGTGTGGGACGGAGGATAGCTATCAAACAAAGCTATTCTATCTCCTGTTCTCATCTCTACATATAATCTAATGTTTCCATACATACCACTACTCAGAATGTGCTGTGTGTTGCAAGTACTTATCTTATTCTTTCCCTGCTCATGTAGAAGTAGGTCTGCGCATAGTTTTCCTCTCAGTTACATATGCAATAGAAGGTACAAATTCAAGGGCCTTTGGTCACTAACTTATCACAAGCTGAGAGGACCTTATTACAATATTTCAATTTTTAAACTTACTGTTATTTAACTACTTATTCTTTCCTTTCTTGCAATCACAGAATCTGGATTTAACAATTATATTTGTATAGCTGCAAAGAATGTTGCATAAGAGAAGACACTTTCCAGCATGTCAACCAGCATACAGCAGTTTCCTTTTTTAAAAAACTCCTTTTGAACCTCTTTTGGTCTACTTTTTAACTGGTGATTTTGGATCATAGGAGCAACAGAGGGCTAAATCCATTGTAAATGTGTCCTTAATGCTGATTTTCTGCTTAGCTTTCCAAAGAGTATATCTAATTATACTACATCCTCACCCAGTGATTTGCATTCATGAACTTTAACTTTATTTATTTATTTTTTGCACAATTGGTGGCTCTAAAATGAATCAAAGCTAGTTAAAACTGATCTTGAGAGGTTATGTGAGTCAAATATATGAGGAATACATTATTGTAATGGTTACATTCTCTATGAGTGTTCTACCCAAACATCTGGAATGTACCACATAAGAAAAACCTAGTTTTTAATTTGTGGTTTTTCACCAAGTTAATCAGTTACTCTGTTCCTCACAATTTTATAAATTAATTGTATTTTATTATATTTACAGGTGCTTAGATCTGGCCCATGGGACCACCCTGAAACAGCGAAGGATCGGCCCGCTGTGTCTCTGACAGCGAAAATTACAGAATTAACTAATTACAGAAAAAAAAGTAGTAATAATATTTATTAAATGTATATCCTATCCTTACTATCAAATCAATCCTAAATAAAGGCATTATAACTTTATACTTACTTCTTTATTTCATTATTTAATTCGTAATCCAATTATCTAGACCCCATTTCTTCTTGTTATATCACAGACACTTCTTTCCCTTGAATTCATTTTGTGTTATATCCTACTTTTGCTTCCATATAATAAAATGGGCAGAAGTAGACTCTCATACAGTGATTTTTGATACTTTCAATAAGCATTCTTCCTTGCATTAGACTCTACCCAAACCGTAAATATTTTGACCATAACTTCTCTCCATTTCCCTGCTTCTTTTAACCAACCAGGCTCCCTTTGACTGGATAGTTTTCAACTTTATTTTTCTCTATATATGCACTGTGCAATGCGGTTTTTCCTCTTTTTTCCTTTTTTTCCTTTTTGCATCATTCTATGTGATGTTTTTTCTCATTCTCAGCTTCCTTCATACTGTCATTTAACCAAGCCCTTTTTTTCATATTTTTTATCAATGTAACTCCTTTTTGGCATTCTCTGACATAATTATTTTCACTTCGCTGCATTCATTCTGTTTGGAGATTACCTAATCTTCTAAAATATATGTTCATATAGAGCTAGTACCTCTCTTTATTAAATAAGTCTGTTTTTGGTTGTTTCTTTCTCTTGTTTCTTTTTCTTTCACATCCATTTTTTTCTTATGATCAACACCAAATAAGGGTCTATCTAACTAGGTGGAACCGCTCATCACCTTTACATCTTTCATTAATTATTTCATCTTTACCATAAACAATCAACTCAACTGTACTCTTTGACTCATTATTTTCTCATATGTATACATGAACAGGCATATGCTTAAATCACTTCTTGAAACAAGAAGATATTTTTCTAAACAAATTCATGCCAAATAGTTACTATTCTGATTCATTCTTGGATCTCTGAATTGCCCAGCTACTTCTGCACTTTCATTTCATTCCTGCACATCAATTCATGCCACATAACAATATATCTTTTCTCTGCAGGTCACATTAATTCAGAGTATTGCACACTTTCTGAAAGA